ACTCCTGGCAGTAAGTAGGTTTCCTGATGAAAGAATTTAGTGTATCTTTTCTATATAATTTTGAATTTAATTTCTTCTTTACCTGGTCGCATGGCCGGTACACACGCCTTCAGATTGTAGTGAACTCAAGGGGAATTACAGCCTTCCACAAATTCCTTTCAGCAGTAGTTTTTCTGTTCAAGCAGCAGTTAGTTCAGCATTACAGCACCTCCTGAGGGCTTTGGGCTACCTGCGATGTCTTTGTGAGAACTCACCTGGAATAGACATAGCCAAAATGAAGCTCCTCACTGCACCGGTAGCGCAGGTCTTCAAAAGCCCACACAGCTTTTGATGAGCATGTCTTTTGCCGTGACTGGTTGTATACAGTCACGATTACACGGTCAAACAGTCTTCCTAATTACAGTCCTACAAGACCTGTACATATTCATGTATTGTGAGTTGCTCCCACTGAAATCACTAGGATTCCTCAAAATAGATAAATTTAAGCAAAACAGTCAATATTGTGGGATTGGAACCTATCTGTGGGAACTGTAATATATCTGATCCAGAATAAATTGTTTCAAGATAATTGCAAGTTTCCATTCCTATAGCAAACAGCTTTTGGTGGCTTCACGAAATACCGGTTTCTTCAGAGAATCTTCTCACACTGGTGATCTAAAAGCTGTTTTTTCTGATAAAGTTAAAGTTGAATTATTCACATCTTGTGCTGTTGATATCACTGCACATTACTGGGTGATGATCCAGAGGCTACACCCTGGAACTTCACATGCCAAGATGGAGAAAATCAATCTCTGTTAATAAAAAAAGGCAGGCTCAGTGGCGCAGAAAATCACTATTCTGGAGCCTTAAAGAGGCTCCTTCAAAAATTCATCATTATAGAATGGAATGCTGGGCTACATTATAGTCCTGAAAGAAATCAGGATATGAAGGGAAAAAAATCCAATTTTCATTAAGTGGAGAAAATAAAGAATAAATCCCATATGCAGACATAGTCATTGATCACATGGAATATAATTATATGCTCAATATGTAAGAACATTTTCCAAATTTCCCAAGTACCCAATACTTTTCCCAAATACTTTTCAAAGTTAATTGTTTTTCTTGTCGTTTATTCATGCTCCTAGCACTAAATCCATCTGAATAAAATTTCTGATTGTTCGGGTCAACTGCTGTAGGGTAGCTGCAGGACATTCAACCTATAGTGATATGCAGACATTTAGCAAACTCAGTATTGACCTAACGACTTTTAAGTTAGGTCACTTACTACCCCGTAAAGTATTTGGTGATGTCCCTTGCTGATGGGTATCCACGCTGCAAATACAGTATGCAATAAATAGCAGAGAGCAAACATCTTTGCCCTCCTGCGTGCATTGTGCCTACAGCCATCCTGATGAGAAGCTTCTATAATATGACAGAAACTTGAAGACACTAAATACCTTCTTTAAAGCACATTTCCTATTTTCTGTCTATGGGAAGTCTGAGTTCCTGCATCACGATCATTTGGGGGCCAGAAGAATTAATATGCAGTCTTGCAGTGTAGGTGGGTGTGATGGCTGATAATTTGGACGGTCTTTGGCTTGAAACACGGCTTTTGCACAATTAGAGCAGGAAGAATTCCAGCTTCGCTTTTACAGTACTTCAGCTTTCAGCCTTGGCATACCCGTAATGCAGTATTTGTATGGAAGAGACTGGATTATTTTAGATGTAATATAGTCAGCTGCCTGGAAATACAGCCACTCTCAGTGTATGCGGCAAGGCCTTTTTACCATATTACCATACACCAAATTATTCTTTTTTAATTATTTTTCACATATTTAATGCAGCTGCAGATCTGTTCATGAAGAAACATTTCAGTAGTTCAGCTGATCAGCTCAAAACCAAGAAGCTCCTGACAGTTCATCTTGCTTACTTAAGCATGGCTGAGTCATGACTACAGTGAATCCAGCACTTTCTTTAACTTTTATTTATTCATTCATTCATTCATTCCCTCATTCATTGTTAGGGTGCATGTGTGAGGGGCTTGGGTGAGTGCAATTTACTGTCATGTAGGTGCCATCATCCCTGACTTCTGAGGGATGATTGAAATATTACTTCACACAAATACCTATTTTTCATGGTTTGCATAACAATATATTCATAACATTGGACTTCTCAGAACTCATTCGAATTATTTTCACTGCAAAGATGGACAAAGAGGACAGCTGAGAGACAGGAAAAAACTGGTTTTAGGATTCAACACTTATGTATAAATTTTCAATAGGATTGACTAGATGACCTGGAAAAGATCAGTTTTAATTGGGGCACTCAGCCCTCCCCCAACTTTAACTTGCACTTCCTCGGTACATTATTAAAGAATTTGCCAGCAAAGAAAACATAATGGCCATTTTGCACTTGCTGCTCCACACTGTATTTTGAACTGATGTGCTGATAGAAGCCCTGTCCATACCCAGTTAGGTTGGCACATGGACACGCCAAGCTCAGAAAAGTACATTTTAATTGTAATACCCCAAATCAGGAGCACATTCGCTAGCATTCCTCATTCAGAGCTTCCCTTTCCAGTTCTCCTTCCTGGCTTTTTTTAATGAGTAGGAAAGACACATGTTGGATTAAACTAAAGGCAAGTGATGGGTGGGAACAAACACTTGCAAAAGGTAAGCAGCTGCTTAGTATTCAGGAGCAAGCAGAGCACTTCAGCTTCTGCAAACAGCTCATGTGGGATCAACTTTTATTTGGCAAGGAGGATGCCTTTCCCACCATGCAGCACCTTTCTGAAGCTGCAGCCGTGGCTGAGGAATTAAGCAGAAGTCAGTCAAGCAAAGGAGCATGATTCTGTGCCAAGCCAGTCAGGTGAATGAGGTGGTCTGCTTTAGCGCCAGAAAAATTGGGAGGGAATTTGGCGTGGTAACCGAGCACATTACAGAGAGGTGTCTTTGTTTCCGTGCCCCGCTGATTGTTGCAAGAAATCACCACCATGGTAGTAACTGCTGAACTGCGGGATGCTCCAGGGAGGGGATTGCTGTCTGTGATGCTCATGGGGGATGGCCGCCAGGCTGTACATGGGCTCAACTGCAAACTCACTTATAGCAGCACAGGGCTTCCACCACGGCTTGTTATCACAAGCCTCACAGCCGAGGGAAAAATCAGGGGTGAAGGAGTTTTTTAGTGTCTGTCTTTCTGTCTCCCCACTCTGTTTCAAGGGACTCTGCAGGCTGTTGGCTCCTGCTGCTCATACTGAGGTTAACTTGCTTCCCAAGGGAGCCAGAGTAAATGTTGTGGTTCTGTTTGCAGTCTAACCCTCTGCTGCTGTGTACAAGCAAGCCTTCTGTACCCGAAACAGCTCCAGCTTACTGTACATAAACTATAATGTTCCAGTGGGAGCACTGTAGTTTTCCATTTTGCTGCTAATTGGATGATACACTTGTAATAGTCTTTGTTAACATGGCTAGTGCTGGGCAGGGTACAGTGGTGGAAGGCTTTTATTTAGAAATCTTGCAAAAATGCAGTGCCTGTCCCCATTTGACAGCAATTGAAACCAATCGTCAATTAACTAAATAACAGCCAATTAGCTTGAAGAAAAAAAGAAGAAAATTGCTTACTTCACACTCTTTGTTGAAGCAAACGCCAGTCAGAGGATGGGAGGTTTTTTTCTTTTTCCTATGAGAAGACAAAATGGCAAAAGATGTGCAGAAAATGCACAGTGGGTTGGTTTTTTTTAAATACCATCTTTTTCTCACACAAGAATATTTGAGAAACTAGATAAGAACATCTTAAGCTCCTGAGACATTTAATTTCCTTTGATTTTTTAAAATCAAAATTACAATCATTATGCAAGCACAATTTTTCCTCCTTTCTTTCACGCTGCTGTAGGATACTTTAAGCACAAGGGCAGCTCCACTGAAGCTGGCTGCCTTCATAAGGAGAGACCAGCAAACAGCTGGCTGCTGTGCGGTGCGACGACAGGCAGGACTGTGATGCTAACATTTGCATCACCAGACCAAGCCCTTCCTCTTTCATATTTTATGGACATTTAGGGGTCCATAGGTGAGACGTTGTCGGAACTTTTAACATTAAAAAACCTGAAGCACCCAGAGGCATTAGGAAGCAGCCGAGTGGTGCTGTCAGGACTGGCATTTTGGTCTTAGGTCCCTCCAAGACCCATGTTTCATGTCTGTATCCTTTTTTGAATCTGGGCAATAGTGTCAAAAGGTATTGATTAAGTCAAGACCATTGCACAGTGAAAGCCAGTCACACCACTGGCAGGAAGAAAAAGTCTCTCTCCTGGATTATTGCTCTTCATTTTAACTGTTAGCCCAATACCATCTCCCCAAAAGAAGCAGTGCAATTCAACATGAAGACTAAAGCTTGATCCTGTGTGCTTTCAGCTGTGCTACCGTTAAACTCTTGCCAGTCCCGGAGCAGAGGCTAATGTCTGCATGGGTCTCTGACAGCTGGGCTTTCAGTGGGTGATACGCTGGGCAGAGAAAGAGCATAGATTAGACCAAAGCGGCAGCTGCTACAAGCTAACTTAATATTGCTGGGTTAGTAAGAGACGACCATTTACTCATGGCATCCTGGCTTTGAATTTTTATTGCACTTTCCTCATAAGCAGTTAAGGCCAGCAGTTAATGCACAAAGGCATTATGTGGCCTCGCTTCTCGCCTGTGGGGCTGGACCACAGCTGGTTCCTTGGGGTTGACATCAGGGCTGCGTCTGCCTAATGTCCATTAGTTGCATCAATCAATATTTCTTCACTTAGACTTTTTACTCATGGTTCAAAAAGATTTTGTTATGCTACTTTGAGCTGCTCACAGCATCATTTCACGGGTTTCAAATTGTGTTACTCTTTTGTTAATACTTTTAGGGCCCATGTTTCATAATTGGATAGTGGAGGGTGAAAGCTATATCTTTTAACCGTCAGGAAAGCAATGAATATTGGATGCTTTTTCATTAACTGATGTGAGATTCAGCACTGCACATATTGATCTGTTACTTTCTTACAGGAACATTTCACACCTGAATGCAAGTTCAAAGAATCGGTATTTGAAAACTACTATGTGACGTATTCTTCAATGATCTACAGACAGCAACAGTCTGGCCGGGGTTGGTATTTGGGTCTTAACAAAGAAGGAGAAATAATGAAAGGAAACCACGTGAAGAAAAATAAACCTGCAGCACACTTTCTTCCAAAACCATTAAAAGGTAATTGCTTGGGTTTGCTCCATCTATCTGAACTGACATTATCTTATGTCAGAGATGTTTAATTGCTGTGCATACACATTTGAAGGGTTCAGCTACTTATATAACAGGAGTATAATGTTCTGTAACACGCTGTTAATCTAACCAGAGCTGCTTTTTTTAGGTTTCTCTACGTTACCTCCGCTTTTCTCTCATCTAACCAAATACGCGTATTAGTTTCTTTGTGCCCAAAGCCCACAGTGTCTCCATTATAGGTAACGAAGGCTCTACCTGGAGTGGCTCAAACATCTGCTCACAGGCCACCAGCGACTTGCTGTAGAGCTTGTCATCTGTGCTTTATGTTACAGGATGTTTGTTTGTCTGGTTTTGTCTGAGATAAAGTTCTAAGATGCGGTGCTTATTAAACCGCAATTAATGTGGCATCAGCATACGACATTAAAGGTAATAATGCATGTGGCGTACGTATACTGCTGTGTATTAAAAGCCGGGACGTACAATCATCCCAGTTAACTGAAGGATCCGAATCAGGACTGTGGTCAGACTTGGCTCCCTCTCTGGTCAATGCAAAGAGGGAGATCTCAGTCGATGTATGGAGGTGCTCCTTTTCTCCAGAAGAACTAGCTTCCGTATGCTCCTTCCTTAAGAGGAATGAAGCCTTCTACTTCTGGGTTATGCTCTTAGGTAGGCTTTTATGGCAGTGTCATTTTGAAATCAGAGAGTATATTTCAAAGGTGCGTAGCCCTGGGTGGATGCTGGACTAGTTTGGCAGTCTACATTTAGGACTAGGTGTTAGGCAACTGATGTCAAGATTGATCCTCACTTCTAATGTGTGTGGAAACAAAGGAAAAGAAGACTGAAAATCCATTTTCGCACCCAGCTCCTTAGGCTAGGTATACAAGTAACGGGTCGAATCACAGCTGTCGACAGTGCTACTTCACCATTAATAAGGAAATGCTGATTTATATCAGCTTAGGTCTACTTGCAGAGTTTTGTAAGTGCAGTGGGTAGGTGGGTGATTTAACTGGGAGAGGGAGGGAGCTGTGGTTTTTCCCTTCTCTAAAATGTCATTCCCTTGAAGAGGCCCTCAGAGGTTCTGAGGGAGTGTTTGAAATGGAAGAGGTCTCCTTGCCATGTTTCTTTCATTCACTCCTTACATTGCATATTGCTGAACGAAAAATCCCAACGTTTCGCAGCCAGACTTTGCACCCACAGACTGAGTAGCCCGTAACGTGTGCTGATGTGCTGCCTCTTTTTTGCTTTGCAGTGGCCATGTACAAAGAGCCTTCTCTCCACGATCTCACAGAGTTCTCAAGATCTGGAAGTGGGACCCCAACAAAGAGCAGAAGTGTTTCAGGAGTGCTAAATGGGGGTAAATCCATGAGCCAAAACGAGTCAACGTAGCCAGGTTCAGGCAAGCCAAGTGCTCTCTAAACAGAACCTTACCTCTGGATGCAGTTGAATTCTTACTAGCAGTCTTTCATCCAAACGTTCAATTGCCCAGGACAAGCCACCGAACTTGCATAGGTCACTCGTTTATCAGCCATTAGATCTACTGGTTGTCAAAGGATATACCCCAATAATGTAGAATATGCTTGTGCATATCACAAGGCACTTGGATAGCCAGCAAACATAACTGCGGAATAAATCTCGGAGAAGAAATGTCCAGCTCTTTCTCTCTCTCTCTTTCTCTCTCTCTCTTTCTCTCTCTCTCCCCTATGCTTTGTGGAATACGAAACAAAAACATTTCACAGCATTCACTGCTGATAAGAATTTGCTTTCCAACTCAGAAAAAGACCACTTTTGCTCTTCAAAGGAAATTTTAATGCTTGTATGTTTTATAGGGGCAAACGAAAAACAAATATGTAAACTCTGTTGTTTCCTTGGCTTACCGTTTTATATCTAAGGCTTGATAAAAAATGTATCCTTTAATTTGGAATAGTGCAACTTTTTGATTTCTGAACTCCAATGGGTCTTTAAAGCTATGTCTTTAAAAAAATAATTAAAAATTCAGGGTTGGAACTGAGAGTTGGTGTCTCAGGCTCAAGCAAACAGTGTTCTTGTGGTTTTAAACACAATGAAATATAAATTTTTATAGATTTGTAGTTTCTGGTAAAGTTCTTGTGCTAACCCCAGTCTGTAGGAATTGAGTTGTTTTGTTATCCCAAGTGGAAGTTAACAGAAAGGGATAAAATTATCCTCCAGTGTAGATTTCTCTTAATTCCATTTTGTGTGTCATGTTAAACTATTGTTGTGGCTTCTTTTCTAAAGACAGAAACTGTGGAATTAAGGTGACTTAATTTTTTTATAAGAAACGTCTTATTTGTAAAAGTCCTTCTTTCACTGTAACGGGCACGTGAATATTGTGTAGGAGGAAGCGTTAGGACAGGTTACCCCTAAACAACATATACTTATACATGCTATTGGAAACAATTGTTTAAAAAATGTAGTTAGGTTTCCATTTAGGTCATCATGTCTGTTGCATGGGAGAAAGTTGGAATATTGGCATAGAGTTGCATGATGTGTAAGATTTTGTGCATTAATCATCGTTGGATTCTGTGCTCCAAAACTGACATAGTTCTGTACAGGCAGCTTTCTGCCTCGTACAAAAGAGTTGTTTATTATTTGTTGTATACACAACCATGCACTGAATAAACTATTTATATTAAGATGTACTTTTTAAAAAAGCTTGTTTGATTATATGATGTACCTCCATGATCAATTTCAAGGGAAAGGGTTGGCAGTTAAATTATAAAGTTATAAAAGATGCTGTAATTCATGTTCAAAATCTTTCTATGATGTAATGGGTTATTCCCCTGTAATGCCGTACACTATACAAATGAGAACACGTTCTTTCTTTCGGGTATTGTTAGAACTGCTCTTACATGCCCAGCCGAGATACTCAAAACACGGTGATGATTAAGTGCCAAAAGTCTCGGTAACGGCCCCTCTGCTGTGCGCTGCTGCAGCCCCAGTGAGTTGCACTCCTCTGCTTTGAGCTTCTCCAGCTTCTCCGCCTCTGCCCTCCCTGTTAGACTTCCTTAGCGCAGCCACGTAGCACTACCTCGCAGCACACCTCCCCGCAGCCCGCGGCACGGGGGGTCCCAAAGAGATCCGGTAAGTCAAGCGCTGCTTGTGCCAGGGTGGCACCTTGAGGGTGCTCAGTTTGCTGTGCATCACTGCAGGTACGCTTTAGGAGCCAGCTTTATCTGGTCTCGAGGAAAAAGGCTCCTATGCCTCCTGCCTTTGTGCACACGCTCTGGAGAGAAAATGTCCCTCTTTCCTGCCTTTTCTCTCCAAAAACATCAGTGAGAACTTTTCTCATCTATAACATCCAGGCAGCTCTGACAGGTGAGCTTCACTCATCCAGGTGTTTGGAGAAGTCCTGGGAGGAACAAGTTCTCACCATGGGTGGCTGAAGAACCAGTTCTGGAAGGTAATAATGGGAATGGAGGCAAAAAGCTACATATAAATGTTAGCCTGAAATTAACATCAGGTATTGTGCTGTCTGCTCTGTGTCCCTCACACTTGACCAAGCTGGAATTAGACCTCAGACCAGGCTGGGACAATGGGGGTTTTTTAAAGATTGGGGCTGAAAGAGAAGGAGATTATGTTTCAGATGAAACCCCTAGATTTGTTGTTTTGTGGCAAATAGTAGGCAAAGAGCTCTGGCTTGCTGAGCTCCCATATTGGAGCAGGGTGTTGCCCTCCCAAATACTACCGTCTTGCTGGCCTTCAGAGGGCCTGGGCGTCCTCAGCTCTCCCCTTCCAAAGGGTGAAGAAGGTGGGAGTACAACCAGTGCCATAGAAATCCTTAAAAATTGAAGGTGTGGCCGTGATTGCTCCAGAGATTTTGATAACTCAGTGAGTCTGGAGCATCTGTTCCCTTCAAGTGCTATGCCCTCCTGGAACATTTCTCTTAACCCTCCCAACCCCAACCATCAGACTTATTGAGGTGCGTGTTCCAAAAAAGGAGTCCCAGTGCGTTAGGAACATAAAACCTGATTAAAACTAGGCGTATTTGTGGCAAAGCTAGTTAGATACATCGTTCAATGCTGAGCATTTACTATCCTAAAGATAACTGGAGGTCTGCTGCTTTGCTTTATAGCTGCAATCTTACTGTTGTTCCCCATCCCCATTACATCCAATCTTGAAGGTCAACTGCAGTGAAAGAAAAATGCTCATCTCACAAATTGCCCTTTCTGAGGTCTGTAGTCTGACCCATCCTTCATATTGACGTTGGCATCAGCTGTGAGCGTTCGCTGCCAAGTCCCTAGTTTCAAAGTGGGCTAACAAAGCCCACTCTTGGATTGAGAGGAGAAGAGAGATATGGTAGACAGATGAGCCAAAACAAGTAGCTGGTTTTGACAATTATGTTAAATTTCTGACGAACCTGTTCCAGCAATAGTTTTTCCTTCAGGGTATTGTGGACTGAAAGGGGAATACTCTTGATAGACTCCTGACAGTAGACAAAAGCTCATGTACACTATGGGCAAAGTGGGGGATTATGCCCAGGGTTTTACATGTAGTCCCTGGAGCCACAGCCTGAGATTTAATAAGGAGAAATAGAGTTAAATGTGCCTCCGCAGACAGTGACATGAAGGTGATACTCTGACCCAGCCAGCAAAGACCCTTGGGTAGACAGGAATGTGGCTTCAGCACAGGACCAGATTTAGGAGCCAGACTCTAGAGCATTTACTTATCCTTCAGCACCCATAAATTAAAAAGTCAAACAGATGACTCCTGGATAATACCTTCATTTAAGAAATCTGCTAGTTGTTGGAAAAATGTCCATGTTGTCTATCAAAAGAAAACTTAGAGCCACTTTGCTCTGCCACACGCACAGTGGCAGAGTGCAGTAAGATGCACACCTGGAATGAGGACAAAGCCCGGGGGCCGGTATGAAACCAAGCCCTGCACTGGCTGTGAGCCACTAACCGTCTGCAGAAGGCTTGGTCTCAGGCCCTTCTGTTATGGCCAATGTGATGGCTGATGCCTTTCATCTGCCATTTCTCTTGTCCCTGCCCCTCCACCAATGCTGCCCACGCTCCGTGCACCGTACCACAGGCCCGGAGTTGGCTCAGGAGGTGCAAAACCGGCACAGCAGCTTTCTGATTCACCTGGGCTTCACTTGGCAAAGCCCTGAGCCACCGCAGGGGCTGTGCGGAGACCTTGTGAAAGGCTGACAAATACTACCTGCCAACCCAAAAGAAAACAGGTCACCCATGAAATTGGGAGGAATACTGCTAGGAGCACAACGATTATGAGGCAAAACTGCCGCCTTTTTGTGATCCACCTGTCAGAGCTGCTTTCTCGGAGGTCTCTGCAGGGGACTCAGTCATTGCCTGCTTGGCCTGGTTTCGGGGTAAGGGAGGGTGGGAAGAGCTCTTCTCTGTATCACAGAGATCTTTCTTTTTTCTTTTCATTTACCTCATGCTACCTCATAGCATGGTTGTATCTCCATAGCCACTTGCTCAGCCATGTTCATCGCTGGCACGATGGAAGACGATTCCCTACTTAGGGAAAATATCTCCCAAGTCATCCCAGGGAAGAACGGTGCGCCTTCTGCAGCACCGTCTGGTGTCCCCACCACTGGTTTCCAGCCCACGGGCCAGGTTTTCCGGTGGGATAAAGATGGTGTTACAAGCTCAGGGATGCTGTGGTACGCCAGGCCTCTCCCCAGCTGAGCACCAGCACAAAAGCCAGGTCTGGCAGAGCTCTGCTGTGTCTTGAGTATCTCTGCGTGGAGACCAGAGCCAGCTCTAACAGGTTTAAATGTCTCCCTGACAAATCTATGACCAGGACACTTTTGCAGGACAGAATCTGTACATAACAACCTCCTATCTTCGAATAAATGATTCTCTCTAAAACAGACTCCCTCTTGTCTGGGCTCTGAATTTTACCACTGCAGGTATTTAAGGGTTCTCCACTCCAGCACTGGTGCATTACACCATTAACTTTCCTTGGCGTATAGACCCCTCTGTGCTAACATTGTCCTTTTCCTATGTCTTCTTGAACCAGAGAGGGGCAACTTGAATGGTCAAGACAAGACCACCACGGATGGATCCTTCAGTTGCTGTAGCCTCGCCATGGTCCATGGAGGACACAGAAAGTGTGATGCATTTTACCAGCTCAGGAAATGGCTACTCTAAATATTGGAGCCCAGTTTCCTACACAGTGTGAGACCAAGACAAAGACCACCATGGTTTTGTCTGACTTTGGCTCTGCAAAAATGACACAAAAGAATGGTAGAAAGCCTATTTAAAATAAATTGGTTTCTTAGGAAAAAAGCTCTGCCATGCAATTTACCCTGAATAACACCGTCTTTGGGCTTTTTTTCAGCTCTTTTTAGGGGAAGATGTCCTTGACAACTTAAAATTCCCAGCTCAGATCATGGGTAAATTTTTAAGAAATTCTCTTCCCTGGCATGAGTGAGCAGAGCTGTGGGGCCCTGTTCTTTCCTGGCAGGTTGGCACCGAGGTTCATGCCTTTTGGAGAGCAGGATCCTGAAACAAGCTGGGTTTGCTGGTGCATGATGGCTTTTATTGCTTATCGGCTCCAGTAGCAGAGCCTACCCTGCTTTGGGAACATGCCGCGTCAGTTTGGGGGGCACTCAATCACCCTGCCCTTCTGCAGCTCCTCTCATGGGGAAGTTTAAATATTAAAGGAGAACCCAAATTTGAAACACGTTTTACATTAATCAGAGAAATTGAAGTAATAAATTATTCCATCTCATCAGGAACTGGAAGACAGTTTATAGGGTTCTCTTCAAAGATCATTATTAATGATTTGGAAGTTAAGATTCTTAAATACCATGTATGGAAAATTACTTTCAAGCACCCGTAGGCCTAATCTTTTCCCCACATATGTTTCGCATTTCTCACCTAAATTCAACAACTGGAGGGGCAGGACGAATGCTCTCATCTCCCATGGGTTTCTCAGCATCGCACATCACACACTCCTTTTCTGAGCTTGTCCCCTTGCCGAGGACAGGGTCACAGGTCCACCCTCCACCAAGGGCCATCACATTTGTATGTGGAGGAAGAGTTGTCACTGTCCTGGCATTTGTAGTGCACAGGGCTGGTTGATTTGATGAGATGTTGATCAGGGCTGATCTGAGCTGTCGATGGCATATTTTTGGGGGACACACAGCTGACTGGCACGTCTCTTTTACACTCTGTCTTTGCTCCTGCGTGGAGACGTCTCGGTTCAGAGCGTGCTCCCAGGGGAGCCTGGGGTGAATTCGGGGGCTTTGCACTGAAAAGAACTGCTCAGGCACTGATGGCAAAATGCTGCTTGCTGTGGCTGAACGGCCGTGGCGGCAGCAGCGCTGGGAGGACCATGGCTGGCGCCTGTTAAAATTAATTCATTAGTGAATAGACTGCAAAGCTCTGAAAAGTAATTTGTCATGATTCGTCACCCACACCTTAAAGAAAACTAAGGCACAAACAAAAGCCCTATCCAACTGGGGTGAGCAGATCATTCTTTTGCCCTTCCTTTGTGTATTGATTTAATTCAATTATTGGACCCAGTTACACAAAGCAGGGCCCTGCACTTGGAGTGGGGCACAGACTCCATTGTCCAAACCTTTGCAGCAGGGAAGTTTCATATAGACAAGAACTCAGAGCTCTTTTAGTGTTTTCAAACAATACTGTATATGTCTTGAAGAAAACCATAGTGAGGCCTGAGCCCAAGTCAGTGAAAACTGTCTTCTCTTTTTCCTACTGTAAGCTCAGGATCAGCCCTGCAAACAAAACCTCAGGGAGACAAATCTGTGGAAGGAAACGTTT